ACTTTGAAGACCCCCTATGGAAGGCCTCGCCCTCCCTGGGGAGCAGAAATGATATGGTATGGGTAGGGCATTAGTTGGGGGGGGGGCAGGGGAGGAGGGGAGGGAGCGGGACCTGGGCTTGACATGTAAAATAATTTTCTTTCTAATAAAAAAAAGAAAAAAAAAGCATCAAAAAAAAAAACCTCAAACTCACAGTCAAACATGTCCCACAGAAGATCCTGGTGGTAGAATCATGCTGACTCTCAATTTTAGACTAATGATTGTCTAGCTACTCATCCAACACTGATAAATGCATTATACCTGGGGGTAGTTACTACCCTGCCTTGGGATTATCAATGGAAAACTTAACAGTGAAGCTTCTTGGATAACGAAATATCAATTTAATTTGGAAGGATTAAGTGAGACTGAAATTGTTGCTGGTGGGGAGCATATGATGTATGTTCACATGGTCTCAAAAATAACAGAAATTGAGATATTTTACTGGCGTGGCTGTAACACGTGCCTTAACCTTTCGTTTAGGAAAAAAAAAAAAAAACCACCCTAGTCTTTCGGATTTAATCTCTGTGCTGATACAAATAAATAGCTCCTATGAAGATGGATCCAAGACTTCAGAGAAATGGCTATGAAAATCTTAGGAGTCTAGACAAGCTAATCTCTAGATCCCCTGCTATGGTTTAGGGAATATTTGTCTACTTTTGTTCAGCAGCTGTCTGAAGGTATGCCAAATGACATCTTGGTGTGAATTTATTAGCAATGTTCCACTCTCACATTTGAGCTCTCTGGAGAGTTTTAAAAGAGAATAAGTAAGGGACAATGCATGAGCTTCAGTAACTGCTAGAAACTGGGAACTGGTGACAGATGTGTATAACAATGAACCACCTCCCTGTCGGCTGGAAGTCCTATCCCTGCTCCACACCTTTTGATAGGAAAAAAAAAAAACTTACTGACACCATACCATAAGGTAAATCCAGGTGGAAAATATCTGGGATTAAAACCTGATGTTTGTTATGAGAAAAGATTATGGGATCTTCTTATTGCCCTACTAAATAATTGGGTTGATTAATACTTATAATGATTTTCTCCTGATACAATGTGGCAGACCTAGGAGCTTACATGGATAGCAGTTCATGAGGTAAAGTGACATCCGAGTTTACAGGGACTAAACCTGGACAAAATTAACTGGACTACTCTATGATTTGCACGCTAAGGGGGTGTCAAGACCAAGGAACATTGTATTTCTCCTTTGCTTTTTTCAAATCACACAGCTTATGACAAAAGCCTATCCAAAATCTACTGAAATATAGGAACACTTCTAAGTTCTGTGTATATGGTTGGTTTGTGCATCCTCTGTGTCTCTGAGATAGAAACAATCAAGTATTATCTTATGTACTTCATTTGGCTGAGTGATCCATATAATTTTGAGTATTCTCTTCTACTTGTCCAAGATGATGACTGCATGCATAACAGCCAAAACCTTTTTGAACAATTCTTATAATGTATCTAGATTTTTCTTTTAAACCTTATTACCAAAACTAGCTGTGATTTCCCAAGGGACTAACCTAGTGAAATTATTTAGTCTATAGACATAATTAAGAAACTAATGAGGAGCCGGGCGTTGGTGGTGCATGCCTTTAATCCCAGCACTCGGGAACCAGAGGCAGGCAGATCTCTGTAAGTTTGAGGCCAGCCTGGTCTCCAGAGTGAGTGCTAAGATAGGCTCCAAAGCTACACAGGAAACCCTGTATCAGAAAAAAAAAAAAAAAAAAAAAAAAAAAAAAAAAAAAAAAACAAGAAAAAGAAAAGAAACTAGTTAATAAATTCCTCCTTAGAAGGAACCAAAGCAACCACTAGCTCTTCCTTCCATCAACCAACTTGGCATGAATTTTATTTATGAAATAAATAAAGTGATATTATGTACACACAAAAATTGAAATTAGAATAAAGTAAAGCTATTCATGAATAAGGCTGACTTAGTACTAGAAGAACTTTTGAAAGAATGGAAACTTCAAAATAGGAAAGTCTATTCAGAATATTCATTGAAATTTATTTCCTGTTACCTTCAACCACAGGGAATCACCTAAATGAATGATACTGGGAATAGATTTCCCTTTGGCTGTTGGGTCCTTTAAGAGGAGAGAAGAGTGAGGAACCCTGTTAGCAGGTGATTAATCTGAACCTAGAATTAGGAAGATGTTATGACATGGGTAACTTCCCAATGGAAACAATCACATTCAGAATGAGACTTTCATTCTTCTCTCTTAAATTCTGTGCAGATAATAGGGGGAAACAAGCCTTGTACATCGTCCAAAGCAGCTGTGTGGACAGAGATACCCGGAGCTCCCTCCTTCTTTCCAATACAGATCAGTAACCTTTGGAATAAGTGGGATCAACGCCTGTGTTTTCCTCAATGTGTGAGCAAATGGCTGCTTTATTTGTAAAAAGGAACAAAAATTAAATGAAGATCTATTATACTCACAGAATGATTGGAGTAATTTTCTATTTCAGAAGATCGTATCGTTAAGCTAGAACAACTAATGTTAAGTAATATGGACAAGCGCTTTAGACCATGGAGACAATTTAAGTTTGAACCAATTACAGATACGGTGTACAAGGACAACCAAATATGATATGTGAATCTCCTGGTGTCTCTCAAATAATCATAACTGGAAGTTAACATTGATTGAACTGTGGTCCTCTAGCACACACAAACATTCCATTCAAG